GGGATATTTGCTTTTAAAATCTGTAATTATTGTAGGTGAAATAAAACTGAATTATATAATTTACATCTATGTATTTAATCAGAATTAAATGTTAATAAACTTAATGGGATATAGGGGAATTTATTTGTCTTTTAAGCACAAAACCTTACAATAAGCTTTTATTTTACTGTGCCAATCACAAGGATCAAGTCCCTAATTTTAGTATTGTAAGCCCTCAAGCTCATCACTGAACCATCAGAGGCAAAAATATTAATATAATATGCTAATAATATATTGATGACAAAAAAAAGAATACCTTTACAAGTTCTTCCTGGGTACTAAACTCTTTTTCACATGTTCTCCAATGACAATTAGTTTCTACAAAATCGCCAGGCTCATCTTTCAGATCTGCTGTATTCTCTCGATCATCATCACCAACACTAGGTTCTCCTGCTCCTCCAATGCAAGACTCTTTCTTTACTCTTGTCCTTTGACTATCATCTCCATTTACAGTACTACTCACATGTATAGGAGTGTCTGAATTAGTCACCTAGGTTTAATCAAACAAAAACCTTCCTGAATAATCACTAGTGTATGGTAAAAATTCAATCTTTATTACCAACATACAGTTTGCACTCAAAGTAAAGAGATTCTTAAACATTCATACTATGTGTCGATTGAAACCATTTGTATTTTTGTCATTCATAACCCAATGCTGATCTAACTTTACCCAACTCTGGAGGAAGTGTGAATTACCATTGCAATACTTCTGTGGTCAGTTTTTAGCAAGTTAAAGAGGAAGTATGATGACATGTTGCAATACTTCTGATGTTAGATTTTAGCAAACTCAAAAACGTGTTTAATTTTTGCAGTATTTCTGAGATCAATTTTAACCAAGATAAGTAGGAATTATAATTAATAAAAAATGTTGAATAATGAAAGTATAAACATTTACAGAATAAGCTGATGTATAAACAGTCATGAAGATCTACCATTTATTCTCTTAAAACTTTTATGTACAGTCATTTTACTGAAGTTTCCAGATAAATCTATGCAAATAGTGTTAACCATTATAAATCAGTATCTATTCCATCTAATTCATTTGTTCCCATTCTTTGTTAACATCCTCACTGCTTAGAATGTACATGTGTTGATTTAGCATTTGTTTGCGTGTGCTCATGATGCACATGTGCATCATAAATAAAGCATTTTATAGACTTGTTATTAGTGCTCTTATTTAATTTGAAAATACAACAACATTGCACTAAAATTCTTATCAGTACTTGCCATAGATGATGTCAATCATCACAACATGCTAACCTGCATTATTTGGAACTATCAGATTCATTGTTGCTAATATGAAAAATGAATTTATGATAAATCCTTTTTATTTGTTATTCCTTACCTCATTGTACATATATGTGTATTGTGCAAGACATTTTCTCTGTATAGTATTTTTAACAATGTTATGAAGTTGATAATAACCAATATGTTTGTGTGACCTCATGATAAAACTTAATTATTGCTATTTATTTTTCAAAGTTATTTATAAATTAATTTTTGTACATTAAAGTTTTCAATAGCAAAAGCAGTAAAGAATTTAAAGTTTTTTCTTCAAGTGTCAAAATTATTTTCTACAGGTACTATACTGTGGATAATCAAATCAATAGATGATTCCAATATGTCTGAACCACTGTAAATTTGAAACACAAACAATAAAATCATAATATGTTCATGTTGACTTACTCCAATATCAAAATTTATTCTTGGTCCTAGAGAAGCACCGGGATTAGAAAAGAATGGTTGTGTTGGATGAGCTGTAGCTGGTGGTGCCAAAACGCCTTGTCTCATCAGCTGGTGAAGCTGCTGAAAGTGTGGAGGAACAGGTGGAGGTGGAACTCCTATTGCAGGACTAAGGGTTCCTAGGTAAGTAAACCTTAACATTAGCAGATTTTTCAAATAATACTTTCTAACAACAGGTTTAAAATTGTCTTTATAATCACAGCATTGATTATCTTTAATACAGTGGTGTAGCCCAATTTTCCAGAAAATTTAAGGGGGGGGCAAGAAATTAAAAGGCTGAGATTGATCTAAATTTTAATAAAATGGCCATTAAAACAAATCAAACCAAATGTAATAGTATTTATAGAAGTTTTACTTTATTTCTTTTTAAATGATACAAAACAAGTTTATTATATATAAAAGCTGAAAAATAATATGTGATCAATATGCCTAGTCATTAAGGTAAGCAAAGATGCTTTTATTAAGATGATTTTTCTAGAGATATATTGAATTTAAAAGTTTTTCATTCTACATAATAATACTGAGCTCAAATGGTCAAATATTCTGGACTAAATGTTACCAAAGATTGACAAAAACAGATTCTATAAGGTAGTAAATTTGTGCCAAGCAAATATAACTATCTTGTATGAAAGCCCTTACCTAATGCAGTTTTGAATATGACTATGAAATTATTGGTAATTGACTCTTAACTGAATGTAAATGTATATATGTTTTACTATAAAACTAAAAGCACATCATAAACAATTTATAAATATAACTATGAACTTTTATAATTTTTTAAATTCGATATATATGTGTGTGTGCTTGTGTAAAAAACTTTAAATGCATTTGCATTTAAAGAGATCTCATTAAAGGAGAATATTATATCTTGCTCACCTTCATCACCACTCCTTGGATGATTTAAGAAAAGAAGAAAACCATGTATCAGAAACAAAAAACAACATTTTGTATTTGTTTGTTAAATGTATTTTTTTTTATTTCAACAGATGCAAGTAAAAATGAGTCAAAACACTTATAAAGAGCTTAATATCATAAATTGATAGGTATTGTGAATATATGAGCTCAAATTTTGCATAAAAACTTTATTATTTTTTAAATAATACTAATATCACTTTCAACACAAGAAACAAATAACCTACTAAGCTTGTTGTCTTGTATAGTCATGTAGGCTCTTGAAGAAGCTGAAACAGTAAAACATTGTTCTTGTAAAAGTTATTTGTATCTTGTGTTGAAACACATATAAATGCAATAGTACACTAAATGACATGATGTATACATTTCTCTCCATACTGAATTTTTATAGCATACTTGTAACTACAGATATAAACAGGGAATTTATTTGATATTAAATGCTTTTTTTCCCGTTTTGCTCTAACAAAACAAAAGATAAAAATAGACTTTGCAACAATGCTATACATTTTGAAGATGATATCATTAGATTCAAAAAGTAAACAAATAACCAAAAAAGAATATGTTTTGAATACTTAGTACATTATATAATCCTTATGAAGTCTTTAATATTATTTAAAAGCTACAGTCATAGCCTTATATTAAAATGCCAATAATTTAACTTTTTCAATGTTATGATAGAAAAACTAAATTAATCATTTTGGATAATTGATTGATATATTTTTTTGTCAAGAAATGTAGTTTTTTTGCATGATAACATACATTATAAACATTTCAAGAGATACTAACTATATCAAATAGATTGGAAAGTCAAAAGATAGATATGAAGGTTATGAAAGAAGAGTTTCAAAGGAAGGAAGGATCATATATGGTTTCTGACTAAAGAGCATTCAAAATTAAGTCACTGTTACCACAATTTTTTTTGCCATGAATTAAGCTTTCATAAAGAAACGTAACCACTTCTCAAATTCTTATAGGTCAAGCAAAAACTCCTCATAATTTTAGTTTTCCTCATTAATATTTTTAGTTGTTGTCAATGTTGCTGTTCTTTGCCACATATGAAGTTTGGATTCAACAATAAAATGACTAAAATAAGATATTGCATTTAGTGGTTGTAAAACTATACGTTTTTTGAAAAGTTAAACTTTTACTTACCAGCTGAAAGATGTCCATATGATCCACTTGCACTAGAGCTACGTGATCCATTCATGAAAGAGACGAGGGAATTTGGAGAAAATCTTATCATAGAGTTGATATCAAAAGAATCAGAGTATGGGGAGCTAGAGAGTGCACGTTTTCGTCCATGTCGAATTCCAGGTCTTGGACTAGAAAGGCGAGAACCTGCACAAGAAAATTTTGAATCAAATTTTTATGAGACATTTTAACATTCTCAAAGCAAGTGCTCAATGGCTCTGTTCAAAAGAATGAATGACATATTAAATAATTCATTGAAATAAATGCAATTCAAAATGATAGACTGCATTTTGTCTTAAACTGTTCATTTTCATCAAATCTTTTAGTACTCGAATAAATATTGATACTTAAACGTAAGCTATTTTAAATGTTTCAAATATGTTTTAGTGAAAACAGTAAAAAGGGCATTTATTTTTTTGCACAGCATCCTAAGTTTGGTTTATTTGTTTTGAATTTCGCGCAAAGCTACACGAGGGCTATCTGCGCTAGCCGTCCCTAATTTAGCAGTGAAAAACTAGAGGGAAGGCAGCCAGTCATCACCAACCACCACTAACTTTTTGGCTACTCTGTTACCAACAAATAGTAGGATTGACCATAACAGTATAACACCCCCATGGCTGAAAAGTGGGAGCATGTTTGGTGTGACGGGGATTTGAACCCGCGACCCTCAGATTGCGAGTCAAGGGCCCTAACCACTTGGCCATGCCGGGCCAAGAATAACCTATTGGAAAATTTGTTACTTTATCTTAACTGATGCCCCCCTAAGAATCAGCAGTAATTTTACGAATATAAGAGAGAAGGTAAAAAAAACATGTGTAACAATACGTCGATCACACTATATCTGCCATATCTAAAACCGACGAAGCCTTTCGTCCAATACCACGGCTCAGAATGCTAAAATCCTGGGTTCTATTCCCCATGGCGGACAGAGTTAAAATAACCCATTGTATAGCTTTTCGCCAAAACAAACAAACAAACATTAGGTTATAAAAAATTCCTGTTTATATCAAAGGTTTTGCACAAACTTGTTTTACTTCACGAGTTGTTTAAAAACGTCAGAGTAACAGATTTTGTTAAAAAACTAAATACAAAATGGACTCTTTCAATCTAATACAGTTTTTATTTCGAACAACTTGGCTGCTTAAATTTTTAATTTTAAGACTCCTTACTATCACCCTCAATTCATTTGTATCTAAATTTAATGACCATCAAATTTAGATATAACATTATATTTAATATGCAATATCTACTATATGTAGTTGTGGTAAGTTAAGATACATGGCGCATATTTTTATATACAATTGAAAGCGTAACTGAGGTAAAAGATATCCTTAGAAAATATCCAATTATTCAAAGTTTCTTAATATTAATCTTAACGCATAGGAAGTATTTATTTAATTAGTTTTCTTTACAATGTTCATTCTGTTACTGTTAATAGCCAGGCAGTCAAAGCAGATGGCGCCACGTGACGTATTAGAACATGATGAAACGTTTGAGTTTTTTTCTAGTAATGGCTTACCGTCAACGGAAAAACACATATCAGTACCAGCTGCTGAGGTAGGTGGTATTCTATGGATGTCGCTAACCATACCTCGCTGGCTTAGTGTAGCCATTTGTTGAAGGTAATCTCCATGCATCGATAAACCTGGTAAAATGTATGTAAATATAGATTATTAACGACATAAAAATTGTATTATACTTTACAAAGTCTCTAGATGATTCCAAGTGAGTAATGCGAAATAACTGTAAAAATTCGATCATTTGATATAAAACTACTACTAGATGGCGCTAGTTTCAATATCACATAATAATAGAATGCTAATTGTAATTGTGATTTATTAAACGTGAAACTCGAATATACATAAAATAAAACATCTCATAGGCATAAGAACTACATAACCATATGGCTCTTTAGACGCTGCTAACTTAGTTCCACATCAATCACTAATTTACCCAATTAGCAATCTATCTTGCTTTCACTTTTGTAATATTTGTAAAACAAAAAATAAACTTTGAATAACTCCGCCCTTTCGTAGAGGAATCTGTCTTCAAAATTATTTTCTTTGTCGCGGGGTGTTTTTTTTTATCAACGAGCATGTTAAAATAATACAACCGACTTATTCACATATAGTGGATATAGTATCTCCATTATGTTTAAAAATCACACTAGTGACACCTACTATGTATATACAACTAAAGTACATGCTGTATTTTCATTAAGTATTTCAACGTCCAAATATAGTACAAAATCAGTTTTCATCCAGAGAAGGCTTAACGATAAGGGAAGACACGCTGCTTATATGAAAAGTCATCTACACATCCTTATGCACAGTTTATAACGTTCTTCCCTCTATAGTTTGGTTCACATGAATTGAAGTAAATATATAAAAAAATTAACACTGGTCTCTTAATTATTCTTTTTACAATATATTGTTCTTTGACCAGTTAATAAGTTTATCAGTAAAAGCTAGATATTGACTTCTTACGTCACTGACAGTCTCTTTCAACTGTATTTAAAAACTTTTGTGTCATGTAAAAAACACAAAAAAAATGAAAAAATATTCATATGTGAATAAAGACGTAATGAATTTTTGGTTCAGTTAGTACTGTTTTGTGTAGGTAAACAGCATTGTTGGGTGAGGAGTCCTAATGTTTTGGAAGACTTTTGCAATATCTGGGCATGCAAAGAAACATTCCATTTTGTATAATTTTTCGCTGTTCATTCCATTAATCAGTTGTTTCCTTGATATATATTTCGCCGTTGTTATGCCTAAGATGTAAACCGTTCAGGAACTTCAGGTCGAGGTGCAGTTACAAGTTGTTTTGCAGGCTGTGTCAAGATACAGTTATCAGTTGTGATGCAGCCCGTGTTCAGATGAAAAACTGATATTTACGAAAACTCAGCTGAAACAAAGTTTCTGTTTGGAACTCATTTATCGGAAACATACACTGCTTCCAAACTTAGATCTTAGAATCAAATGCAAGTAAAAATTCAACACCTTATGTATCCGTCTTTCTACAAGTTTTTATTCTATTACTTCATTCATATGAGCATAAGTTACAAACGCTGCAGAGATTAAATAATGTAATAAGATTATGATATTTTTTCCTGCGCTAATAATATTTTTATTTTTTTTTGTTCAGAAAGAAATCTGTTTTCCGTGGCAGCAAACTAGGATAAGTGGGAATAAACTTAACTGTTGAGAGCTGTATCAGTTGCATGATTTGATTATACATAAAAGATGCAAGAGTCAATAAGTCAAGGGAAATTCCAGATCATTTTACTTTGTCAATAAAACTACGTGTATTTGGTACAAGGACGTACGCATATTTCATCTCTGCATGAAAAGGTCCATTATTCAGAATATAAAACAAATTATTTTCCAGCGCTATCCTAAGAGGTAGTTTCATAAATAACATAATTACTATTTCAGCACCACGTTCGCTTTAGAATAAAAGTGGCTCTCACATGACAGCCTACATTAATAAAACAAAAATCCTATAGTAGAATATGACATCAGGATTTTTAACGATTTTTAGTTCGCTTACACATACCCACTGTTTCTTTTTTTTTTCTGGACTCTCTCTGTGTGTGTGTTTGTTTCTATTCAATGTATCATGTCCAACGAAATATAATCAAAATAGAAAGATGCAAATGACTTACGCTCATGCTGTTACGTTACGTATCCTATTAGCTTTGAATAAATTAGATCAATTTATTGCGTCCCCTGGTGGGACAGCGGTAAGTATGTGGATTTACAACGCAAAATCCGGAGTTCGATTCCCCGCGGCGGACACAGCAGATAGCCCAATGTGGCTTTGCTCTAAAAAAATCCACACAAAACACATCAGTTTATTGCTTACAAAAAAAAATCTGATTTGTATTATGCTTTTATGATTGGTATTGACAGCTTAATAAGGCTTAAAGCATGTGGTTTATCAATGAAAAACTGAGTTTACTGTTATGAGTGTACAACACACGTTTTTGAAGTTAAAAATAAGGGTTTTAAGAAGGCAGAATTTAGTACTTCAGATAAGGGTCATACAGGTATAATTCCCAACCGAAAATCAGCCATTTACGGCCTTAAAAACTGTAGAGAAATGGTTTTACTGCCGTGGAAAAACGAATACGGCTCCTGTCGCTTTAATGGTAGTACAGTAATTAAATGGCCGCATTCTTGGAGCTTTCTGTAGTTCTGCACAAAGTCTGCGCAGTTCACATAGTAGAGCTTCAAAAATGAACGCTTTCTAATCGCCAGACGTTTCTACTGGTGCACTGGTGAATGATCTAATTTTGCGTAAAAAAATAAATAAAAAAGTTGTAATGTCATTATTTGCGTTTACTATGACTACGTCTATTGATTTAATTTGCAAAATCAACCCTGTGCCAAATTTCACTTTTTGAAATAATAAAATAATTCATAATCAGTTAAATTACTTTTTACTGGAAGTGATTACTCCTTACCAAAAAAAAAAAATTATCTGGAGCACTTGAAGTAATTACGACAACAAATATACCGAGGTTTGAAATGAAGGGCATTATTCCACTGGTAAAAACTGAAGTAAATATGTGTGATTATAAGGAGAAAATATATCAGGAACAATGCAAACAAATACATATATAAATAATAATGCAAAGACAAAATGGAATTAACTAGAACTTTGATTAATTTAATCAGTACTAAAGCACCTAAGAAGACGATTTTTAGCTAGACCTGTATTTTTGTTGTTGTTTTGTTTTTATTTCCTTAGTTAAAATTCCCCAAATGTTCAACAAATCGTAGTTATTAAAACGTTTTGGTTATATTGTGAAATACCCCTGGAATCCATGGGACTTATTCCTTGTACTGACGTAGTTGGACTGGAATGGAAAGAATTGTGGAACTGCTTCATGTAGGCAGAACCCAAGTGGTATGGGTGGTTAAGAGGAACTTCCATCTGGCTGTTTGTAAATCCACGTCGTTGAGGCAAAACTGAAAATTCCGACATCCCTGGGCTGGGGCCATTGGCAGGCAGTCTATCAAAAATGAATTTATACATATATTAATAAAACGTTTCGTATAGTAATTTTTTTAGCACCTTAAGGCCAGTTTATTGACCATGACAAAACCATAACCCGTTTTACAGTTTTTAATACCAAAACTGTATTTGTGTTTGGTAAAAATATTGGAAAAATGTCTTATAACAAATTATGATAAAATATTGTAAACCTTGCTGAATTACACATTCAACAAGTGAGAAAGAAACAGAGACGGACCCCTGAAGGTCACATAGAGGACCCCCTTCACATGCTGTAGACAGGTCAGTATCGGGTGAATGTCACAAGTTAACTAAAACCATTATTGGACAAAAATCTGTGTGGTTGTGTGCGCGCTCATAACTGGCGAACCGCTAGATCTTTTGTCACCAAACCTGGAATGTACCACCAGTAACGTGGGGCAATTTATTGAATTTATTATTATAGCTAATATTACGATTATTTTCTGAACTTTTATAAAAGATTCATGCACAAATGCCTGCCTATTTTCTATACATTAATTCTAATCTAGTCCGTTGAACAAGCTCCCCAGTGGCACAGCGGTATGTCTGCGGACTTATACCGCTAGAAACCGGGTTTCGATACCCGTGGTGGGCAGAGCATAGATAGCCCTTTGTGTAGCTTTGCGTTTAATAATAAACAACAACCGTTGAATAACTACAGAAATAGGTAGATTAATATTGTTGAATAACAAATCAAAATTTATTGTATCCTGCAGCTATTTATCTTTACCTATGCCCACTATAATTACAACGTGTATTAGAAAACTTTGAATATTGTGGAACGTAGATAACAATTAATATACTGCTCTAACAAGTGTCAGGATATTCAATGTATAGAAAAAAATAAATAATGAAAATTTATTATTGAAATAAAATATACAGTTTTTTCTTATGTTTTTAAGTTTGTTTGATTAGATGTTATCTGGCACAAAGCTATACAATTAGGCTATTTGCTTTCTCTCCACCGCGAGGAATCAAACCCTCTATTTTAGCGTTTTAAGTCCATAAACTTAACGCTGAACCACTGGGGTATTTGACCCAATCCTTTGAAATTAAAATGTATTTAATACTGTATCTCTTGAATTTATTTCAGTTTTGCTAGTTTTATTTATAAGTACGGATACTTGGAGATGATATGTTATTTTTAGAATGGTTTTTACATTAATATGATTGGCATTTACAACCCAGGCAGCAGCTTGTGCGCGCTCTAAGGCTAAATGGTCAGGTCAGAAACACCTAGGGTTCAGGTATAGCTGTCCCTGATTTCAAACTTCTGATCATAGGGAAGTCTAGAACATCAGCTTACGACGCTACAGCGTCTTTGCCAAGCGAATAACGGGATAGATTGTCGCATATTATACAAATATTGCTAGTAACATAGGCGATGGTTTTTCTGTCTTGAAATATTTACATGTTCTAAATCCGAAAACGATATCCATTTTTCTCCAACACGTACAGATTTTTCACAAAACGTCATATTTACTTTTACATAAGTGAATCATTTTCATTGAAATCGGGTCACATTTTGTTTATTATACTTAAAATGTTGACAACAACTGGCTATATATTTCTCCAGACCAATCGCGACGTGAGAATCTTATCGATCGTTCCAGAACCCAAACAAAACAAACATGATGATAAAAAATGTTCATTGTGGTAAACGAAATAAAAATTTGATTTAAGTAAGACTTTTTTTTCTTCCCGTGATAGAAAAAATATTAATATTATTTTCGAAATCTGGGTAGCTGAATTTTGGAAAATCTGTTATTAAAACCAAAACAACTTTTATGAAGTTTAAATTCGCAGGCCTGTGTAATTAATAAGTTTAATTTAGAAAAGTTTGAAAATAGTACAAAGTGTTTCAAAACCTTATTAAACTGTATACCTAAACAGTTTTCCTCACAAACTAATGTTGCTTTGATTTCTCTTTTTTCAATGATACAAGGCCAGGCATGGGCAGGTGGTTAGGGCGCTCGACTCGCAATCCGCGGGTTCGAATCCCCGTCA